AAATGAAATGTTAACAACTGTAGCTCGACTTGAAATCCAACTCAGTCCACAGAACTAAAGTGTTAACAACTGTAGCTCGACTTGAAATCCAACTCAGTCCACAGAACTAAAGTGTTAACAACTGTAGCTCAACTTCAAATCCAACTCAGTCCACAGAAATAAAGTGTTAACAACTGTAGCTCGACTTGAAATCCAACTCAGTTCACAGAAATAAAGTGTTAACAACTGTAGCTCGACTTGAAATCCAACTCAGTCCACAGAAATAGTGTTAACAACTGTAGCTCAACTTGAAATCCAACTCAGTCCACAGAACTAGTGTTAACAACTGTAGCTCAACTTGAAATCCAACTCAGTCCACAGAACTAGTGTTAACAACTGTAGCTCGACTTGAAATCCAACTCAGTCTATACAACTAGTGTTAACAACTGTAGCTCGACTTGAAATCCAACTCAGTCCACAGAAACAAAGTGTTAACAACTGTAGCTCGACTTGAAATCCAACTCAGTCCACAGAAATAAAGTGTTAACAACTGTAGCTCGACTTCAAATCCAATTCACTTCACAGAAATAGTGTTAACAACTGTAGCTCGACTTGAAATCCAACTGAGTCAAGTTGCACAAATATCAAGAGAAAACCCTTATAAAACAGAACTAAAGTGTTAACAACTGTAGCTCAACTTGAAATCCAACTCAGTTCAGAAATCTGTGGACTGAGTTGGATTTCAAGTCGAGCTACAGTTGTTAACACTTTAAATAAAGTGTTAACAACTGTAGCTCGACTTGAAATCCAACTCAGTCTATACAACTAGTGTTAAAAATCCAACTCAGTCTACAGAAATAAAGTGTTAACAATTGTAGCTTGACTTGAAATCCAACTGAGTCAAGTTGCACAAGTATCAAGAGAAAACCGTTATAAAACAAACTGGTGGTTTCTAGTAATAAACAATAACAGTGTGTCCTAAATCTTAACAGACAGATTAAGTTCAATGATACTCTAGATTTATAAAAAAAAATAAAAAAGATTTTAGCAATAAAAGACAGAAGCTGCAAGATTTGATGCAGAAATTTGAAGTTTTTTTATACATCTAAAGTAGTAAGTTATTACTCAACAAAGTAAAAACAATAAAATCCACTAATTACACGAAAATAACGTAAGCAAGTGGAAGACATAAATTAAACAAACAGAAACAGTATGTTATGGTAACTTACCATTCAGTAGTATGTGAACAAAAATAATTTGTTCTTCAAAATTTAAGAATTTCTTTTATTATTTACATTCTTGTACAAGTACAAATGCTTTTATGTCAATAAAACTTCATTTTTAAATGTGCACTCATATGATGTACAGAAACAACTAAAAACGTAAAGTTACTGATTCACTTATATAATAAGCTGCCAATCTGTAAATAATTTCTGATCTTCACACGCAATGTATATGTGATTCATTTCTCTAACTTGGTGAAATAAATAAGGTAAATCAGACAGAGACACACACGTTATTATTGTCATATCTCAATGTTTCCAGATATTTCATCAACACTTGAGTTAACTGATAACTTTGCTATTTTAACAATAAACAAAAAAATGGCACAAACTGTTCCAAAAATCAGTATTCAATGTCATTTTAATTTTTCAAATGTGAAACTTCAAAATCAAACTAGTGCAGAATTAAAACAAAAATAAAACAACTCTGAGATTCGTCATTTATTCTTTCTTAAATAGTTCATTTACAGTGGAGAATTAGTTATTTTTTCTGTTGCAGAAAAAATCTATGACACTACACAGTGAGAAAAGCTTGCTTTCTGTTGGAAATGTAGGACATTTCATAGCAAGATAATATTTTTACTGTCAGAAATATAGGACATTACACAGCAAGATAATCTTGTTTACTGTCAGAAACCCAGGACATTACACAGCAAGATAATATTGTTTACTGCCAGAAACCCAGGACATTACACAGCAAGATAATATTGTTTACTGTCAGAAACCCAGGACATTACACAGGAAGATAATCTTGTTTACTGTCAGAAAACCAGGATATTACACAGCAAGATAATCTTGTTTACTGTCAGAAACCCAGGACATTAAAGATAATCTTGTTTACTGTCAGAAAACCAGGATATTACACAGCAAGATAATCTTGTTTACTGTCAGAAATATAGGACATTGCACAGCAAGATAATCTTGTTTTCTGTCAGAAACCCAGGACATTACACAGCAAGATAATCTTGTTTACTGTCAGAAAACCAGGACATTACACAGGAAGATAATCTTGTTTACTGTCAAAAAACCAGGACATTACACAGCAAGATAATATTTTTACTGTCAGAAATATAGGACATTACACAGCAAGACAATCTTGTTTACTGTCAGAAACCCAGGACATTACACAGGAAGATAATCTTGTTTACTGTCAGAAACCCAGGACATTACACAGCAAGATAATACTATTTACTGTCAGAAACCTAAAACATTACACAGCAAGATAATATTTTTTACTGTCAGAAACCTAAGACATTACACAGTAAGATAATATTGTTTACTGTCAGAAATGTAGGACATTACATAGAAAGAAAAGTTTATTTACTGACAGAAATATAACAATTTACAAGAAAGAAAAGCTTATTTATTATCAAAAATCTAGGACATTATACAGAAGTAGAAGTTTTATTTACTGTCACAATGATTTTTCTATAAGAATACTTTGAAAATCCCAAAACTTACTTACTTTCATACTCTGGTTTTCCTGCATCATATTCACAGGTAAAGAATGTCTGATGATCCTGAGCAGATAAATTCATGTCATAGTATGTCAAAGGTTCTTTTGATGATGCTGTCTGAAATCGATTATATTCTGATCCTCGGAACAAGCTTAAAGGATTCCGCCACACTTTACATTCTGAAATATATATGTTAAGTAAGGAATTATACAATAAAAAGGAAGGTGAATGAAACTGAAGATGTCATATTCAGGAGAAGCAACCATTTGTTTCCCAAATCTTGATATAGTCGGAGAATAAAATATAAGTGTTCAATACAGATGGAAAAAAAAAGTCTCAAAGTTTCTCCTATTGTAATGCTAGAAGTATAAGAAATAAAACAGATTATTTTAGAGCACTGGTAGAATGGAGGATTTTGATATAATGGGAAGAACTGAAACATGGTTAAATGTAGATGATTTTAATAACAGAAATTTCTTTGAAATACAGAGTTATAAGTTATTTAATAGGGATAAAGTAATAAAGAGGGGGAGGAGTGGCTTTATATGTAAAATGTGAATTAAATCTTGTTGAAGTTGAGGATATCAAAGATAATAGCAAGGAGATGGAATCCATTTGGGTTTCTATCAGCAGATATAAAAGGAAAAGACTTTTAGTGGGAATTTGTTACAGACCACCATATGATACTGATAAAATTAGTGAGAAACTTTACAGTGAGATTAAGATTTCAGCTGTTAATGAAGTTATAATGATAGGTGATTTTAATTTCAAGTACAGACTGGGATTAGAAGTTGGTTAATTTTACTCCTCTTTTCAAAGAAGGTGATAAAAATTGTCCCAGTAATTACAGACCTATAAGTTTTACATCAGTTGTGGGAAAAGTTTTGAAAAGTCATTTAACAAAGCTCAGAATTTTACTGGATACTCAACATGGTTTCACTTAGTGAAAATCTTGCTTTACAAAACTTTTGATATTCTTTGAAAAGATTATGGCTTGTGTAGATGAGGGTAAGAGTGTAGATTTGGTGTATCTGGATTTTCAGAAAGCATCTGACGAGGTGCCACATAAAAGGCTCGTAAAAAAATTATTTCTATAGGTGTAAGGGAAAAGTTAATTAATTGTATAGAAGAGTGGCTGGATGGAAGAAATCAGAGGGTTGTAATAAATAGAGTTCAGTCAAACTGGATTAATGTCACAAGTGGGGTATATCAGGGCTCATCTTAGGACCTTTGTTCTTTTTGATTTACATCAATGATATAGATGAAGGCATGGTAAATAAATTACTTAAATTTGATGACGTTATTAACCCATTAACTGTGGATGACAGATATTTCCATCAATGAAGTTCTATGGCTCAGCTGCGAATGACGGAAATATCCGTCAGCCGCACATATATAACTCTAACTCTATGCGAATGACGATAATTACCATTTTATTGTGATTGATGGCAACTCAGTTTTATCTGTGAGTCAGAAAATGGCTACTGAGCTGCTCCTGCAGCAGTTAAAGGATTAAGGTCTTGGGTGTAGCTAGCTGTGAAGAGAATTTAGATCATTCAGTGATTTGGGCAAATAAATGGCAGATGGGTTTTAATTATAATAAACAAGCTGATGTACCTGCCTTTTTTCCAGGTTATGAGCTTAAAAAATATGGGGGTGTATGCTATGATAATTAACACAAAAATCCTAACTTTAACAGAATATATTTATACAATAACATATTATGTTTTGTATAAGGTTTAAGAACTCAATATGTATATTCGATGACTAGGAACCCACTTTGAGACTAATAATGGTTGGAGACAGCTTGAATGGGTAATGAAGAAAAACTTTAATATAAGTTTAACATAACAGCAAATGTACAACGTTTCGACAAGGTTTTGTCATCATGCTGTTATGTTAAACTTATATTAAAGTTTTTCTTCATTACCC